GTTCTTAGGGTTCTGGAAATTGGAGGAAATGTACATACCCTCAATCAAGAAAATGTTGATTCTGCACTGGAAGTTCTACCAGTGTGTGAGAATTTGAAGGTTCTCTCTATTTTCAATTGCAATCTTGAACGAAACTCAAAAGACTACTTTAAAAATTTTTTGAACCTAGAAAAATTGAACCTATGGCAGTGTCACCCACGTTTGTTAAAGTGTGCTAAAAAATTCTTTGAATTTGGTTTCAAATGTGAATTAAACCCACTGTCCCCTTTGAGAGACATAATATATGCCTCAAAAAGAAAAGCAAGGAACTGCTTTGGATAGAGCAATTTTCAATTGAGTGTCAAAAGTAATCCAAGATTGTGATGGTTTTGCCCAAGTATGCTCTGTGATTGACCCAGAAATCTTGTGCCACCCTCTCAACCAATCAGATGCAAACCCAAAATCAATCATAACTTTGTTCCTCGCATTTTTTCTGCACTTCAGGCCATTTGCATGTATTTACTTTGAGTCCTGATTGGTTCCATGTGATATTTCCCTTTTTCTGACTGGCCATTGCAGTTACTTTGGTTTTGGTTTCACAGTACTCAATTGAAAAGCACTCTGAGTAATACTGCAATTAAACTGGTTCACAGAGACTTTGTCGCCTTAATATTAGACTTGATGTGGTTTTTGTTGTTGTATTTTTGGCCTTTCCAATTAAGATGAAAATGGAAAAAAATAAATTTCATTCCAGAGAGACATCTGCCCAAAAAGTGAGATGCCTATATGAGGAAATAAAGAAAACCAACCCTAAGTAATTCAGATTTAATCAAATTTTAACAGATGACAAAATAAACAGGTATTACTTTCTCCTCATCAATTACATGCCTCACTAAAGAAGACAATTGAGCAATATCATTCATGCTCATGCTAAGGCAAAACTCTGTCATAATTTATTTCTCGACAAGATATTGTAGATGAACATAGAGTGATTTTATCCAACCAATGAAATTGATCATAGACTACTATGCGTTACAAAAATTTTTGGCTTATGTCATGTTTTCCACACACAACATGGGGGTGATCCAACAATCAAACATGCCGCTGGTGTCATACAGGTTTGTTTACATACTGTTTCATGGGTTAAGTAAAATCACGCTAGTTGTTCCTTTTTTAATGTTTCATACAAATTTTGGTTACCTTTTTCCTGCTATGATGTCCTTTGTTGACAAAATTCTCTTGATAAATAGGATACACTGTAAGTGTTTGCAACAAATAAACACTTGTGCACACAACATGTGCAATCCATAATTAATCTAACTAAAAATTCAAGCTGAAATTGCTCATTTAACGAACACAAATGGATAGTTAAAAAAAAAACTGCTCCAGTTGTACTTGAACATGCAACACTTCTATGGAAATAAACATCTTCACTACAAATAATTCAAGCAAATAACTTCAGGTGAAATAGTTTTTTTGGAATTTGTGAAATTTAAAGTGGACCATAGTGCACTAATATACCATAAATCCATTCTACCTTCATACTTACTTGCAACTGTTTGGCTCTAATTATTCAATATTATTTCACAGATCACAGTAAGTAACTCTCCAATTTACCCTTATATACTTTTGAATAAAATAAAGCAGTTGACACCAGATTGAGGAGTCAAGGCTATTTTATTCACTAATTCATTCATAATTGTTGGTAAGATTTCTTTTTATGTGGGTTGCTGTAAACATAAAGGTTTTAAATAAATTCTTTGCAATTTAAATGTTTGTGTCAATTTTTTTAAATTCTACTGCTCTGGAAATGCACTAGATGTGAAACTCTGGAACTCAACAATTCCAAAGGAAGTTTTGTGGACAAATTCATAGGTCTGATGCAAACATGCTTAAGAGGTCACATTCTCTGTTGATGTTCTCTGGCCATGTCTAAGTACAATTCACAATGTGGAGCAAGGGAATTTTGGATATGACTTGAATTAAGCATGCTTCAAAACCCAATTGAAACTGTTAGAATGAACACATGACCCATTAAGTGTTTAACCCTTAAACTCCCATGATCTCATTAGTATTTCTCCTTACTGTCTGTCATATAGTTCTTGTGATGTTAGTTTTGAGAATTTGGTATTGGATCAACTAATAATCCCCTTATCAATAATTTTCTTTATTCTCATCACTTGTCTGCTTGATATTGTATTGATAGTGTAAAGAGAAATTCTGTCTTGGTCACACACGGGAGTTAAAGGGTTAATTATTAGTATTACTCTGTGCCAAATAGCTTGCCTTATTGATTTTATTTAAAATTACAAAAGGTCTTTCTCCTCAAGTTGCCTCCATTTCCAGTCTCTCCACATTTCATAGTGATACTGTTCTGTGATGTTCAATAAGACCCATCCATCACTATCAACTCGCTCTAAGATACTTGCCACATCTATCAACTCTTCTGTGGTCTCCTTGGTCCAAACTTCAAGGCTCTATCCCACCTGTAATGGAAAAATCTTTTGTCTCGACTTCCCTTCCTTACCTGCCTCCAGTAATCAAAATCTACCATTTCTTCTGTTGTCATCACTGCATGGTAACACCCTCTTGGAACATTTATCCCTTTCTCCTTCCTTAGTTTGAAAAGATATTGCTCAGTGATGGGGTTAAGGCCTTGGAATACCTTCCTTTCTTCTTTAGAATAGAGCATCTGTAGGGTTGGAAGCTGTGAAGAAAATCAGTCTCCATTAGGAAAGAAAATCTAATGACACTTGGCTTGTGAAAGACTGTCTTCACCAAATTCGTATTAAAATGCACATTTGGCTTAATTTCATCGGGTAAGTACCACTTACCAAGTATCAGTATGTTAATGATGATATGCTATAAATTAACTCAAGGGACAATGAAAACAACCACATCGTTATGTTAACCCAACAAACAAATTTAGCAATTAAAGGACTATTAATCATTAGATGTATTTATAATAATTTAACTTAAAATTCATTGCAGACACAAGGCAATAAAAAACATCCAAAACTAGTCATCAAAGGGAAACAAAACACAAAAGTAATAGTACTAAAATAATAATAATAATAATAATAATTTAATAATAAGAACAATAATGATATTCCCCTAAACTACTTGACATGTTAACAAGAACATCTCTGCATAATATAAAATGATTATAATAATAGTAATAATAATAATGATATTCCCCTAAACTACTGGGCATGTTACAAGAACATCTCTGCATAGTATACAACAACAACAACAACAACAGTGGTAAAAATAATAATAATGATAATGACGATGATGATAATAATAATAATAATAATAATGTAAGAGAAAACCCAAGCAGAAGAAAACCACAGATCACTCACAAATTCTGCATACCTCGTGAGAAGCATCATAAGGAGGCTTGAGGAGCTCATACAAGACCAAATCTTCATCATCTGGTTCACTGGCTGTAAAAAGGCACAACAATGCTTTCTTTAGCAAATAACAAAAAAACAAGGTTTATAGAGATGAATAATTATGGAACAATATAGCAAAAAATTCATATTACAAAAACAAAGAGACAAAGAGTGAAAATGGTCAACATATTAATTACCTTGAATATTGTTTTCATTTGACAACTCTGTGTCTTTGTCCCGTAGTTGAACGTCTAATGGCAGAAGAGGAGGGGGGACAACAAATGGATCATCTTCCATATCTTCATAATCCTTCTCAAAATCCCCTAATTCATACTTACCAGGAAAAGCAACACCAAAACCAACAGAAACCTCTTCCATGGTTTTGTCTGGACTAAATGGACTCACTCCTGTTCTGCATTTCTTAATTCCATCTTCACCTATTCTTGCACTGCTGTTTTCACCAGCACAATGTATAAGTCCTGTACCACTTACTCCAGATTCTTTGTCACTGCAAATATTCTCTTGACCCCTACATCTCATAGTTTCAATGGTAGAGCAACCAACTAGCCCAAGGACACTTCCATGGCCACCTTCTTCACAAGCTGGATGACAACTTTCTTGGGTACTGGGACAATTTTTAATGTCACATACTGGTTGCCCATTCATGATAATTTTCGCAAATGAATTCCGCAGGAATGGCATATCCTTAAGCTGAAATTCATTTCCAAGTTGTTGACAAATGCACTGATAAAACCCAAGACAAAGACACCACAGTCAAAAACATTCTGTCCTTGAGAAGGCAACTTTTCTTTCCTCCTGACTTAACCTTCGAAATGAAGAAATATCAATATTTGCAGTTTTGAATTCCCTGCACAAGACCTGAAAAACATAATCACTCCTTCGATCTTTACAAAGGAGTCAAATTCCCCATACAATTTCATTGGCCTGTCTATTAAGACACACCACCAGTGACCAGGGCAATGAACAGGAAATACAAACTTTTCATACTTGTGAAAATCACACCTAAGCATTTCCTTAAGACCCAGCTCTTGGCTGCAGTGATTTAGCCAAAAGGTGCTTGCCACATACACATCCTTTTTCTGACTCATTAAGAATGGACCAATGTAGTTGATCACGACATCATTTATTTGGTTACCTGGCTTGAGGGTACGAACATCTTTTGCTTTGACTTGTCCATGGAGTGTGGCAATGATGGTATCATCACTTATAGTACTGCTTAAATCCCACACCTCATCCAGTGTGCAATGAAAATTTGTGTGCAGCTTAACTTCTGGCAAGTCATTCACTCTCACAGGATTGCCATAAGTTCCAGGCCCTTGAAGGTTTACAGCAGCAAAATCTGGGTTCTGATATGCTTCTCTCTGAATGTAACCTAGGCCATCTTTAAGGGACAGTGGAAGAGCAGATGTCCTGCGACTATCAAGAAGTACAATTGCATCTGCTTTAAAAGAGCAGAGTAACAAAGTGATATTCCTTTGTCCTCACAATGAGTGATGGTCTCTCATCTGCCTGGAACAATCCCAGAAGAAGGGAATAAAATTCCTGGAGACTGCTGGGGTCAAGGGAATTAATTGCAGCACCATCCACAAGTGCCCTCAAGGGTAAATCTAGTCTTTGAAATGTACAGTTCTTCCTAATTGCTGCCTCCTCCATTGCTAAAATACTGTAGTCACCATCAAGACCCCGCATAGGCTCTAAAGGTACAGAAAATCCACAGCCAACTTCACAAACCTGTTTTAACCAAATGATGTCTGCTGCCAAATCTAGGTCAAACAAATTGAACAAAGTAGGTCCTTTCCTGGAACAACCTATTGCATTGTTCATTGCACAAAGTCCACAGAATGAGCTGTACCCTTGAACTTGCATACACTCCTGACTGCCATTGTTGCTACTTAGGCGCACTTGGCTCTGTACATCTTTATTTGCATGCTTGTCAATAATCTTTAAAAAGTACCTCAAGTTACTTTTTCTGTGGCATTATCTTGAGAAGGATTTATGGCTGCAAGAAAGCCCTTCAAGGGCATTACAAACTTGGCCAGTTCACTGCAGTAAGGATCAATGTTCTCTAGATGTTGCTGACACTTGTCCTTCAACTCAGCTGGCTTCCATAGCATTCCTTGATTGCTTCCTGGCATGAACAGCAATGATGTGGATGGCTCACCAAGGGTGACTTCATGGGTTTTCAGACTTCCTTGGGGTGTACTGCATCTGTTGGATCCAACATCAACATTTACATCATTTGTATGGTCAAGCAGATCATCCTTATTGAACACTGGCTCATCAACACCGACTTGGGTGCTAGGTCTTTTGATACTGTCTTTATCATGGCATGAAGTACTAGCCTCAGTTGTATGGCTACTTAACAGAGGGGTTTCCTTTGGAGCTGTCTGAGATGTTTTCATTATACTATCATCAGATGGTACAATGCAACCATCTATTGTTACACAGAAGAGCCCACAGTTAACAGCCATCTGAAGCACAAGATTCTGGCAGCAGGGATGAAAGCATGGAGTTTCTTTTTGCTCTCCAACGCATGACAAGCAGTCAGAGTGTTCCTCGTAACTGGTGAGATGACTTAGAATTGACTTTCCCAGGTTTTGCTTTCTGTCTCTCTCCCAAAAGATTGTACCATAGAGAAAGTACTGAAAACCCGAAGCCTGTAAAGTTTGAAGGCCAGTTACAAACTTCTGGTGAAACACAGCTTCTTCTTCCTCTCTGTCAGAAAACGACGATACCATGGCAAGGAGTCCATAATCCAGAACCTGACAATAACTCTTCAATAAATCATCAATACTTCTATGGTGAGCCACTTTCCTCAACCTTAGACTTCGATTATACATCTCCTTACGCACAGTTAGGCCAAACTCTGAAATGAAATTGTGCATATTCAGCAAAGATAACTTGGGGGTGTTTCACAAAGGGAAGTTCACACTGCTTTTCCTTGAACAAAACCATCTGGCCACCAAAATGGATTTAACTACCAATTGCTCTCCACATTCTATCTCCACCTTGAACATTCCTCCAGGACGCACCTCTTTGATGACCCCAGAACATTCAAGGGCTGAAAGGGATCTGGCTTTGAAAAATGCAATCCTTCTGAACGTGGATTTTGGAAGAGAACTTTGTCTCCCACCTTAAATTCCCGCTCTTTAGCCCTCTTAAGAGCCCGTTTGTGATTCTTTTGAATGGTGTGTTCTGTTGCTTCAAGGACATCCACCATCTTAGATTTGTATTCTTCACTCAAGTTGAAGAGGTATTTTGTGATGCTCTCTACCTGGAATTCTGCCTCTGAATCCACTGATTGAAGTGGGATGTTGTTGTGACTGTGAGAAGGTGGAGAATGTGAATTTCCTTGCACTATCTTCTTAACAGCTGCTGACAGCTGCTTAGCTGAAACACCCAATGAAGACAATAATATGGTCTCAGAAGAAATTTGCGGGATGGCCTCTGTTATCTCTTCTAATTTAGATTTATCCATGGAAGTGCTTTCCCCATGTCTCTCAAGTTCAATGAAATCTTCTGATGAAAATTCATAATCCTCAAGGCAACCATCTTCAATACTTTCTGTCCACATACTATCATCTGGGATGATGTAGTCCACCAAGCAGGAAGGCTCACGGTTCTTATATATTCGAAAAGGCACATCATTAATTGTGCTGTGCCACTTGTAATTCAAAAGGTCTGCAATAGCAGAGAGTAGTAAAGGCCAGACATTGGCCTGAAGATCTCTAGGCAACTGTTGTAAAAACCTTGCAAGTAACCTTTTGACTTGCTTGTTGAGATTTTCTATCTGGCCTTGAGACTGTGGGTGGTGTGGCCTACCATGAACCATGCAAACTTCAAATTCTTTGCAAAGTTTTTTGCACTACCTCTCAATGAATTCACCACCATTATCTGACTGAATTACAGTAGGTGACCCTTCCTTGATGAACAAGGCCTTCAGAATGGCATACACTTCTTCTGCAGACTTTGTTTTTAACGGAAACAGCCAACAAAACTTCGAGAAACAGCACTTGACTGTTAGAATGTAACGGTAGCTCCAACAATTATTCTGCATAAAACTACGGTGCTTCTTTGGGGCCATGTCAATAAGGTCACACTGTAGTCTGGAATGGGGGGAAAAGATCTAATGGGGACAGGAGGGGAAGCACTCGCATTGGCAAGGGGTTGTTGACCTGACATGTTGAGCATCGAGCCAAGAAGGCCCTAATAAGGTTGAAAATACCCTTAAATACATATTTTTGATTGAATAGCCTACTCAAGGCATTCACCCCTCCAGGGAGGCAAGTATCCTCTCCAAGGACACCTTTAATGTAGTGTAAACTGCTTAATACACCATCTACAGCCTCTCTGTAGAAGTTGCTTTGTAGTCTTAAGCTCTCCTTGAACATAACTGTTGACCAAAACAACAAGGATGCCATTTTTGTCACGGACAATCTTACCTTCTTGGTCAAGTTTTAGTGTGTAGACTGGTCTTTTCAGGCTACGTCGTTCAAAAAATCGTCTTTTATACTGATTAAAGAAAGCATTTAAGTTTTCATTCTTCTCTGAAGAAATACCATCTTTTGGGAAAGATGTATATCCTGGAGTACAATACAAAACTGTATCTGCCAGTTTTTCATAAAAATATTTCTGGCATCCATTGAAGCTACAATCTGCTAAATAAAATATAGTATTTGTGAATAAGTAATAGTTATAGAAGATTGCTACCTTTAACATACATTTATTGATTAACCCTTTACACCTCAGTATGCATATTCTCCATACTGTTCTCTATACATTTCCTGAAGCCCTGACAAAGAGAGTTTTTATAAAAATCAAGAGATTTATAAATTGTTGGTCATTTCCTTTATTCTCATGAACTCAATGTTTGATTCAGGGGAGATATTGTAAGGAGAAATTAGAAGCTGGTCACTTTTAGGGGTTAAAGGGTTAAGATTTTTTCTTCCATAACGGGTAAAACAGATCCTATTTAATGGTTCAGAGATGACCTTTCTACAAGTAACTGGAATTGAGGCAATGGAAGATATTACTGCATGCTCAGTATATTGTTGCACAAAAGTATTTAAAAGTTTCCTGTTTCTGAATTTCAGTTGTGGATAACTGTTGTATTCCAGCACTGTTATTTTCCAGCCCCTCTCAGCTGTTCTCAGTTTCTCAGCAGGAGTTAACTATTGTATTCCAGCACTGTTAATTTCCAGCCCCACACAGCTGTTCTCAGTTTATCAGCAGGATTTACTGTTGTATTCCAGCACTGTTAATTTCCAGCTCCACACAGCTGTTCTGAGATTACTAGCAAGGAATAAATATTCTTTTCCAGTCCTTACTTGTATTTTCAGTTGCATACTATTCTTCCCACATTTCTTAATAAATGAATCTATATTTAGTGGACACTTCTATATCACAGACACTGGAGAAGGTTCTCAGAGAAGTTACCTTTGATACTTTTATAACTATAAAAGTAATAGCTTTCACTGCAATTTAAAGTGATTTAATTTTTTGAATACAGTTAACTTCTCCACTAACCCCACAACACCTGTGCAAAGCATGTCAATTACAAATAACAAATATGGAGAGTTGCAAATTACTTCAATACTTTATAGTGCAAGCAATGTATTCCTTACCGTCATTTTTTCAGTGTTTTCTTTCCATTTACAGACTCAAGTGGCTGTAATGAAAAAAAATTCAAACAATTTTACCTCACTTCTTAAAGCAAGAAGTCACAAGACTAAACAACAAGTGTAGAAACTTAGACATACTTAGGCTAAAACTCTGATTCAAAAATAAAAAAATGACCCCCCTGCAAAAAAAAAATTGTACCACTGTCTTTGATACCATCCTGTCACTCTCCTATTTTTTTTTTCACTTTTCTTTACTTCTAATTTGTAAACACATATAATGCTTCTTCTCAATGGGAAGTGTCTTCAAGAAAACCCAAATAACGAAAACAGTATTGGCAAGAAAGATAGCCAAATGAACAGTAGTATCGAATTAGAGCTTAGAGCAATTAAACAACATGAATGGCTGCTACACCCCATTCTTTTTTTCCCAGGTCTACATGAACTAGATTTTGAGCACAGAATGCAATACCTCACCAAACATCTGCTATGATGACTCACTTAAAAGTGTGCATGATTATCACCTCTTGCTTAGATAGCACACTTCACTTCAATGTTTTTTATTACTACACATATGGGGGCTTTGGTAAGATTGTGGAAAGGAGGGACAACGTTTGAGCAGCTGGGAGGGGCCAAAATGACAGTGTGACAGCCATTTATTCCCACTTGGATGGCAAAGTCTGGGGAACCTTCCCCTGGAAATTTAAAAGTTCAGATGTCCAAAAGGGTCCATTTTAGGCCACTATTTCCCAAGTTGGCTAAAAATTATAGCTGCTACGAGGGTGAGTATTGACACTGAATTAATGAATAGAGTACCTTTTATGTAACTGACTATATAAACATTATACATAGCAATGTTGTCTCTGTGATGATGTCTGTGTGGTCTTGTTTGATTTTTACTTTTGCCTTGCTCAAAAAATGAGATTGTGCTGAGGACAACATTAGATTTTGGGGTACAGTGCTGTGATTTCTAACACAGTATCTTTAATGCAATTACTGATGGCAAAGGAGTTAATCAGTACTTCAATGATAAATGTAGAGCATGGCAATTAATGAAACGATCAATGTCTAATCATGAACTAGCTCTTTGTCAGTGACAAGTTCACAAAATTACTATTGGTGAAGGTTACTTCATACAACAATTACTGTAAACCACCATACCAAAAAAACATGGTGACTGGTACATTCAACCAGAACTCTTTGTGCAAGAAAATACTGGAACCACTCATAAAAACAAGCAGTAAAGGTCTGAAAAATTTAAACCTTGCATACATAATGTTGTTGTTTTGTGAAATATTGCTTTCTACGAGTGCCTTAGCCTAAGAGTAATAGTAAAATGCACAGGTGCCATATTTGTCTGTGAGTGGATTGAATCTATTGGGTGAACACCAGAAAAAATAGTAATATTGATACAAATAGGCTGAGGGTTTAGTATAGGTATGCTGTGGTTTAGTTTTATCCTTAGTTTAATTCTTTTTACTTTTAATAGAGGCCAAATTGATAGTGACACATCATCTCATCATAACTTAGGCTAGGAGCTAAATTTTATCTTTCTTTACACAAAATGCATTTTTCATTCATATCATTAACAAAACCAAAGGAAAATGATGTTTATACCAAGGACAAAAAATTAAGCACAACATATACCTTTTTATAACTAGTGCATAATTCGCCAAGAAAATGTTTAGAATAGAGCTTACCACCTCATCAGCACTTTTGTTTTCTTTGCTTTGCTGCTGGTTCTCATCCATGCCTGTATGAATGATATTTAGTAGTAAGGATGAAAGGATTGGTATTTTCTTAGCAAAGATAGTTGCAGAGAGTTTCTCCACTAATATACAGATTGCCAAATGCTCACAATGAATGCCAACAAGACCAAGTTCTTGCTAACACATGTAGGAGCTAATAGTAGGCAATAGTCTGTATTGAATTAAGTATTCATTTCTGCATGAATTAGTGTTTATTTCATTTTAATGTTTGTGACACATAGCTGAAAAAGTATGGATAATGTGGTAACATATAACATACATATTATTATCATATTCCTTATAATTTGGTACAGGGACTTTACTCTAAATTGATCAAAATAAAAGAAAGTGGCATATGTCAGCCACTGATTTAAATAACAAAGCACTAATTATTAAGTGAAGAGTAATTTTGCTGCAATTCTGTCACTTCTGGGTGAGCAAAGAGAATGATTTAATATATTGTAACCCAACTGTTACTTGTTGGAGAGCATTGGGAGACAGCACCCTATCCTTTATGAAAGAGACCAGATCTTCATCATACGAGTTAGCGGTTGGTGAGTTAACCTCCCAGGATATGTGATATTTGACATCAACCATACCAGAGGTTGAATTTTGCGTAGTCCCATACATTTACAATGAATACATGTCTTCCACTGTATCCATAATAGCCATCATTGTAGGCACAATGAGATGGAGAAAATCACACATTTTTTGGGCATTGAAACACCGAGATCTGCCCTGTTTTTCAATTATGTAACATCTAGTTTTACATGTCGCACGCAAACTAAAAAAATCAGCCCTCGACACTGAAGGATTCAATGAATCAAAGTTAGTAGTCACTCGCACGCTTCGCCATGCTGTCACATGAAATCTACAGTATTAAGCCCAAAACTTGAACGTGATCTTTGAAGAATGGTTGTAATATTTGAATTTAACAAAATACTAGCATAAAATGCAACCGAAACCTTACCTTCCTTTAGTAGTTCCGACAAAAAAGCACAACTTCGATCACCAGCGCACTCCAAACCAATAAGGGAAGCTACGAGGCAATGTCAAATTCTCGTCTTCCTAACCTTTCCAACGTATCGAAGAAAATTTCACTGATACTTCGCGCTTAAAAACGCAACAAGAATATTAATCTTTCAACAATCCGAAGTGTCCCAAAAGGCATCAAGGATAAGCCCATGAAACAAGAATAGCCCATGAAATTCCCAAACTTCGAGCGCGGAAAACTTAACGATAGTCTCACAATTTTGCATTGCATCCCTCCCCTAGTTGGGAAGTGACACGCAGAAGACACGTTCACAACGCACTTTGATTGGAAGAAATAAAACCGCATTCTATTGGTTATTAGGTGTGAGGACATAACTACAACGGAAGACACAACTGCAACGCTACATACAGTTACAATGTAATCAAAATGGCAGCGAGGGACTGGAGATTACTTGTCCCAGGCAGCGCGCGGGGAGCGGCGTTCGCTGATGGTATGTTGTTAAAATGCTCTACCACGTACTTAATTGATGCTAATTTCCGCAGTTTTCGAAATTTAATCGAAGCGTAAAATTCAAGTACCCTTCGAAAAGGATGGTCGACGTGAAATTTAGTGACGCAAGATTCAATCCTAAGTGGGAAATCCTTTTAATTAAAATGCGTTTGTATAGTTTCAAAGTTGTCACAGTTAAGTTGTAACTGAGGGTTCATTTACATTCCTTTTTTTGCCGAATTTCCCCTGAAGCATCCTCAGTATAGTTATCAAAGAAAGCACGTAAACACACACACGCAACCCATAATTCCTCCATTCATAATGACGAAGGGCCAGCCCCCGAACTCAACTTACAAACTCTTAAAGGTGGCCAATTTACATTATAAACTCAGTTGACAATTTAAAAGCCAGAGGGCCAAATCGTGCCTTGTAGATCCGATTAAGAAATCGAAAGTGCTCTTCAGATAGCACACCAGCGCTGAATGATTTTTAGGCTTCCACATATCATGAATTTTGGACCATATGCGACATGCAGCACGGACATTTTTGAGGTCAAAAGCGAACATTTCGTCTTTATTTTTTTTCGTCACATATTCATGACGATGTTGCTTTTGGCGATGGAAGATTAAAATGGACGTACGAGTATGTGACCATGAAAATTGGTAACATTAGGTAAAGTCGCATCCCGTAAGATGGACAAGAGCCAAATACGGACAGACAATTTCCTCTGCTCATAAATTGGCCAGCTCCAGTCTTAATTACAACTGTAATACCATAATTGATTGGATAAAGTGTTATAGATCTCGATTCATAAAATAAAATAAAATTAAAATATTTACATATCGATATCCCTCTATAAATATCCTTAAAACTGCTTACATCATTTATTAATAATTTTAGGATCATCACGTTATTAAAATCAGTTGATGATGATATGATCTTTTTGGTATAAGAGTAAACTTAACATAATAGATGCATCGTAGGCAAATAACGCGTTTCCATCACGGTAACACGCGAACTGTCATGTTCACAGAGAAACTCGACTGCCTTCTCGTTTCGAAACTAGGCTACAAGAAGTCCCTCCCTTTTCTGGGAATTCCGTCGCGCGAGTCAGCGTTTTCTAGCCTGAATCGTGGACGATAGACAAAACGCACTAAAAGAGATGAGTTTTCAGATATAAAAGAGTATAAGAGAGAGACAAAGCAAAATGGAAAATATTTATGCATAGAGTCGAAAACAAGAGATCACTGCAAAAGGAATATTTCGCGATTGATGCTATCGTTAATTGTCGTTAAAAAAACCGGAAACAGGTTGAACAGATTGGATTTATCTGATTTATCACGGTATCAAACCGTGGTTTTTTTTCACTGTTCGAAATATCAGAGTTGTCCTCTGGCGAAACAGTATAAAAAGATGTACTGCTGGTGCAGATGTGCGCTAAACAGTTTTAGTGTTACTGAAGGGTCCTTTGCTTCAGCACATATTGGATAAATCCTTCTCCAAATGGGTGAGTTCCTTTTTCACCGCTAGAACATCGTTTCTTAGCTGATCAAGTGAGTCAACCACTCTCAACCTTTTGCAAAACAACTCGAATTTTCTTACAACTTTCTTAGAGCAGATGGAGTTGTTTTTCGAAAACTCCTGGTTACAGGGCCTTTTAAGAACAAAGGGAATGTGAGTCTCACAGATATGGATCAAATCTTGTTTCTGCATTCTTGACGTACATTTCTTGGTAGCAGTGTCACACGACGACTGGCAATCATCTTTGGTGCCAAACCAGCAATCAGCATCAGAAACACATTCCTTTTGCTCCAAGACATGTCTAAGATAATGAACAGGAAAGACCGCGTCAAAATCAATCACCTTTACCACTGAATTATTGGCGATTCCAAAATTCCCGAGGTGCATGTCACAAGACTGTAACATGCCATAAGGGTTACTGGACAGATCCATTACAGAGTCTAGCAGTGAGTGGAAATACTCGAACTGTTTTTTTCGATTGGGCATCCGTAAGTCGAAAAAGGCATCTAAAATACCATTCAATGTAATAGTTGGTATATTCACAACAATTTTAGAAAAATACGGGATAGAAATGGCTGCGTCGAAAATCTTTGCAATAAGGTTTTTCACCATTTCTTGAAAGGGTTCAAATGTATCGGGCACAATGTTAAAATCATCGAAATTCCACTGTGTACCAAAAACATCTGAGACAATGAGAGGCAGCTTTTCAGTCGCATACAGACCACCACAATATCCATGGAAATCAGCAGTCTGTTTGCTGTTATTTAATGCAATCAACATAAATGGTTCTTGCTGGCGCAATAATGGCACCAACGACCGTACTTCGGGGGCTGTCACAATACCATCATTGTCGCTATCACCAAGGGATAGAAACAGCGACACAAGCCTGTTGCATTGAGGACAATCACCAAACAAAGTTTCCACTAAGAAAGAAACATTATCTTGAAAACTTAGAACAACATCTTCGTCTGTTTGTTTCTGAAATGTATTGAAGTCCGTATACCATCGAAGATTTGCCTTAAAAATGACGTCTCTTCCATGCCACTGGCCTTCATAAACTTTATCTTCCATCGCCTCTGTAAGGCAATTTCCAAATTGGATATTTTTCTGTTCACAAAGATCGGGGCATAAAGGTCCAGAGATTTCCCCTGCTTCATAAGCTTGACACTGAAAAAGTGGAAAAATGGGTGGAATTAGGTCTTTAAAGAGAAAAGAAAGCATTTGGAAGAGAACGATGGGATGAAAAAGCGAAAGTAAAAAGAAGGACAGATGAAATGATGTCGGGTTATAAAAGAGAACATAAAACAAAAGAATACTGTTGTAAAGTCAGAATTGGAAACTTTAACTAACCAGCAAATTAGCAATCGAAGGCAAATTGCACTTTAAATGTCTTTCAACTGTCGTCAGTATAGCATACAGGGAAACAACCAAAGGCAGCAGCATCAGCTTCCATCTCGCCATGATCGACTGACCATATAGTGACTGTCAAGTGGAGAGAGAAATCATGCTGCTCACTTTCTATAATAAATAGTTCAAATATTATGCAATCCAAATGAGACTTGGAGACTAGGAGCTTCTTGTTATTAAAACCTTGGCTGGAAAACTAGGGGTAAACCCCCCAACAGGTTTTTTTACCTTTAGCTCCCGTGAGTGACCAAGACAGAATTTATCCTTACAATATCACTACAAAAGCAAGCAGACATTGTCAAGGGATGAGAATGTAGAAAAATAATATTATCATTACTATAAGAGGATTATTAATTGATCCAACACCAAGTTCTCTGAACTAACATCATAAAAATAGTATGGTAGACAGTAAGAGAGATTACTCATAAGATCTTGAGAGTAAAAGGGTTAAGGAACACCATTTTTGATCTCATGTTGCATGTTTTCCAAACATTTGGTACTGACATCAAATGACGTGTTTCTGAGGTTCTGAAGGAGTAAAGAGAAGCAGGGCAAGTTTAGAAAGTTTTTCACAGTCTTGCTTATTTATTGCTTTCGTCCAGTTTTTATCTAAGACAAAAATTTTCAGCCATGCATTTGAAAATCTGTCCACCTCAGCCAAAATTGGTCAAGTCGCACATGTAACATGTTGGTGATGACAGGAATTTGTCTAAATTAACAACTTTTTCGCTAGCGCAGCAAGGCCTAAGTCAGTCTTTTATCTCCTCTTCAGCCCCAACCCAAATCCTTCATCAAGAGAAGCACGGAGTTAGCAGTGGACCTGACCTTTGCAGAGATATTCTTGAATTTCTCGAATTTCTGATTTAGCCCTTAACACCCTAACATCAGTGTGCATATTCTCCATACTGTCATCCATACATTTCTTAAGATGCTGACAAAGAGAATTTGTTTAATAATAAAGAGCTTGTTAATTTGTTGATCATTTTCTTTGCTCTCATGACCTTAATGGGTGGTATTTGTAAGGAGAAAATAGATGCTGGTCACTCCTGGGTTAAAAGGTTAATCTCCTACGAGTTATCATTTATTCTTGTTACCATAAACATTGCATAGGAATACCAAACTACCCTTAACTCCAAGTTCTTAGCCCTCTTCCCCAAAGATAAACTAAACTGTCAAACATTGTTTATTTCCTGGGGAGGGGTGGAGGATTTTCAGGAGGAAAGGTGCAGTGATCAGGCATCCCTAATAGGGTATAAAGGAAAATTGACTGCTATAAACTTACCATTGAAGGGTGGGGGACTATTACTTTATGGGGCAATCAGCTAAATTTTATAACAACAAAAGCCAAAATCTTCTAACCCCCCTTCCCTCCTCCCCAAGGTAATAAATTAAATTTGGTCCCTTATTCATAAAGGAAAATTTCATACCACTTTTAAGCCCCTATGGCTTTAAGTTCCACAAAAAAATAGCCCATATATATATGTTGACACTGCCCAAAAAGGAAAATTGAAATAGTATCTTCCCAAGGAAGACCTCCTTTGCGAAAAAGGAATGGGACTGTTGTGGAAATATGGTAGTTGAAGGACCCCCTCCAAATACACTCACAACAGTGCAGTGAATGAGGAGGCATGGCAGAGCTCTAGATACCGGTACCTCAACACCACCAAAATATATCCAAAACAAAATATCACTGCACAAAAAGTGATAAGCTGAGACACCTCATTATATGTTATATCCACGCATGATTTCCACTCAGTTAAACACATTTCAAAGTTAGAAAACATAATTGCAAACCTATTTACCGCCAACCTTTTGGGTTAACATGAGTCCAAACATACATATCCTATGCTGCTTCATTAATATGTAAATTTCAAGTCTTTAATAGAGCTAATTTCCTCGCTCATTCACGCTGAAAGCAATACATGAGGTATTGTGGTAAAGCAGATGTTCACGGAAGTTGCATTGTGGACCGTGAACGGAAGTAGTCTCGCACCATACCCCTCCCCACTTAGTAAAGGTCAAAATTAACCCCGATGAAGCTCAGAAAGTCACGTGGAAAGAAATAAAATGTTTGTATAGTTTAATACAAATGATAAACTCAAATCACATTTCCGAACTTCTAAAGATGCAACTTGAATCGAGAAGCCGAAATGTTCACACCTAGGGGACCCTTAGCGGGTTCATTTCAACACTCGCTGTGACCACGTGGAAGGGTATCAGAGACAGCCATATTGTTAAGCCAAGCATTTGCGTTCGTCTCCAGTTGGTATATAGTTATCATAGCTCTATCATTGTGCTTTTCCTCGGGAGCTCTTCAACATACATGTCCACACATCAATCATAGCGGCCAAGATAGTCTTACCAAAAATTTTTTCAGTCGAGCCCTAATATTTCGGTTCGGACTTGAGACTCGCTCGAGGAAAAACATCAGTACCAATCTGGTCAATACAAAATGCAGACTGCAGACCGGGTACGAAATGCAGACTAGGTACAAAATTCAGAATGCAGACCGGGTACAAAATGCAGACTTGGTACAAAATTCAGAATGCAGACCGGGTACAAAATGCAGACTGAGAATTTATACCGTCTGATACGTGATGGGAATAAACGTAACTGCGTAATATGTGGCTAACACAGTTTATATAGGAGATGAACTTTGTTCGTTTCTCTCACCATAGAGTCACTTTTGATGTTGATCGCGACGTTCAGACTGCAATACTGCTAGTCTTCATCAGGCAATGAGGTCGATTGTTTACGTGTCGCTATTTGTTGCACGTTGGTACGCTGTTATTGGTGCATTTCGATCCTCGTTATTATTCCGGTCCCTCTTAGGTCCTCATAAATCGGCTGTTGTGCTATTTAATCGTGGGTATCTATGCTTCAGGAATATCGATTCCGCTATCCCTATTGGCTTACATATATACATTACCGACTAGAAGAAATTACGCCGTTAGTTACTGGGTGTAAAATCTTACATATAGACATTATCGACTGGACGAAATTACGCCGTTAGTCACTGGCGTACAATCTTACAGTATATGCGTTGTTGCCTGGAAGAAATTACGCCGTTGGTTACTGGCTTAAAATCTTACACTATATACATTACAGACTGGAAGAAATTACACTGCTAGTTACTGGTGAAAAATCTTACATAAAACATTACCGACTGGAAGAAATTACGCCGTTAGTTACGGGCGTAAAATCTTACTGTGTATATATTTATGACTATCTAACTGTGTATATATTTATGACTGGAAGAAATTACGCCGTTAGTTACTGGCGTTAAATCTTACAGTATATTTGTGTCTAAGGCATGAATCAGACCAGCTGTACTTTTACAAAAACGTTACTTCCTGTAGTACGAGGCGCACCGAAGACTTTTTCACTATTAACCATTTTTAACGAAATTTTCTGGTGTGGTGTACATAATTCGTACTTAAAGGCCCATTTCCAACCTTGATGCAACGCGGTCGTTTGTTTTTGTTTTGAACCACCGCTTTTGTTTAAATAGCGCCTCTGATTGGTCAGTTATTTTAACCTTGTCACGCTGTCTCAAAATATCTCCTGCGTTTTTTCCGATGAGTTCGGTGAGCTTGTCAAAGTAATTCTGTTTAAAACAGTACTATTCGTTTCAATCCGGTTTGGAATCAGATGAATACACTGATTTAGTAAATTCCGAGGCAGCAAGTGCTTATGGATCAGTTGTTGCTAGAGAGGAACACGAAAATCCTTGCGAGTATTCCGAGGAAGGTGAAAATGTTGATCCACCACGTTTAAATTCATACTTCCATTTTTTTTTTTCATTGAAGTTTGCCATCCTTGTTAAATAGGACCAAGGGTCAGTTGAAGTTTCCTGCCCGTGGAGAGGAGCTTGCGCTCAAAAGAGTGGTCGAGGTTGTTGTCCATGCAAAGCAGCAAATAAGAATTGTAACATAAACTGTCAGTGTCGCTGACGTTCCTGCAATGAAGTGACTAAACGTCCGGTGACTGGACACGGTCTTAAAATAATTAAACGTCCGGCAGTCCGATATTTTTCCATATTTCTCTTCGAAATCCAATATATTTATACGAAAATATTCTTCCTTTATTTACAATCCTCTAGCGCTTACAGGCAGCCAAAATTTCGAACTTAATGTTTTTCGCCAACCCTGTATACAGAGTACAAAGCCATCCAAGCGCCTGACACTTAAAAGCTCTTCAATGACACGACCGGACACAGTCCTCCAATAACTCCATATTTCTCTTTGAAATATACCAATTTTCCTTCGGAAATATTCTACCTTCATTTACAATCCTCAAGCGCTTCTAGAAAGTGAAAAAAATTCGAACGTTGTCCGTTTCGCCGACCCTGAACACAGAGTGCGAAGAGACCCAAGCGTGACACTAAGAAAATTTTCTTCGGACACTACCGACTCGGTCTTCGAATAACTAAACGTCCGAAAGTCTGATATTTTTTCATATTTCTCCTTGACAAAAACCAATTTCTATTGGAAAATATTTTTTTCTTATTTAGAATCCACAAGTGCTTCTCGAAAGTGAAAAAAATTCGAACGTTGTCCTTTTCGCCGACCCCGCTGTACACAGTGTATGTAGAGATCCAAGCGTGACACTAAAAAAGATTTCTTCGGATTCTACCGGACAAAATTCAAAATATTGTAAGTAGACTGTAAAATGACGAACGGCGAATGTATTTACCGTAAAGCAGTTGACTATATGTCCAGGATGACTCTATCGTTTGAGTTTATCATGAAAAAAATGTGCTTCTAATGAATAGTGCTAATTAGACACATTGTGGGCGCTAAAAGCCCGTGCAGTTAGACGAGCCATTCAGAGAAGAGCTCAATAACCTACGTGCATACTCCCAAAGGAACGCACCCTAAAACTCCGTTCCTTTCATGCACCGTGATCTGTGTGATCTTGGATCACAAATGCTAATCCGAATCCTCCCAAAGGAACGCACCCTCACATAAATACATTACCGACAGGAAGAAATTAGGCCGCTAGTTACTAGCGTAAAATCTTACAGTATATGTATCACCAAATAGAAGAAATTAGGCCGCTTGTTACTGGCGTAAAATCTTACAGTATATACAATACTAGGTAATTTAGTGTTAACGACTGAGTTGAAAACGTAAATTAGCCACCGTAAAGGGTATATATAATACTGACTGGAAGAAATTAAGCCGTTAGTTACTAGCGTATATGTATCACCGACTGGAAGAAATTACGCCGTAAGTTACTGGTGTAGTTACAACATTAGTTAACGGCTTAAAATCTTACAGTATGTGCACCGACTCAGATAGTGGCGTAAAATCTTACAGTCTATAGACTTTGTTAGTCACATATTACGCCGCTATATAACGACCACCATGGCAGTGATAAAAAGGAAAATTGCACCCGGCTAATTCGTATAAATGAGGTGGTCTCGGTGATTTCGCTTGAAATCGTTGAAGAAAGCGATAATTTCTATGTTTCCTTTGAATAAATTCCCTCTTAAGTCCCCTTACCTTTCCTAAACTGATGAACCAATATCAGTCTTGATCAAGTATTGTTTTCGAGGAGCAGCCTTTGGTAACCTAGTGCCCAATCTTCGTATGCATTGAAAGGATTAGTGTGGACTGGACTATATAATGGGAACAACGGACGAAGGGGAGACGGGATATAAGTTACACCGCAAACAACATTAGCATAAAGGTAGAAAAATTGGGGTCTTTTCCAATATTTCTCCTTTTTTCATTCTTTTACCGCATCGAATGATCGCAGTCACTTTGAAAAAAAAATTCCCTGAAACCTCTAAAGAAGTAATGCAAGCGTGATATGTCACTCGATTCAAGACTTGGAGATACTCTTTCAAATAACAGGAACATTTCTAATGTTATGATAGGAGAGGAATCTTTTGTGCCCCGGATAGCAGCGTTCAGTTTCCTTTCACAGGCCTTTATCTATGAAAAGTGGCCGACAAACCGCTGGGGACAAGATTGAAGCAGCAGGCTAAACTGGATAGCGGAATGTCATACTGAGATACTAGTACGTCAAATATGCTATTATCATCGAGACTTCGTTCAGGTGGCCAAGATGTAATACCTTTCACCAACAAACCACCAAGCTTGGTAAGCCAGTCTTTGTGATATCTAACATATTTACAAACACATGAAATATGTAAACGACTGCTCGCTTTGCTCAAAAAGTCAATACTTTCAACATGTAGCCGGTAGCTTGTCAACCCAGCGAGCAAACACATGCAGCCCTAGATAGTAAAGTGTCATCAACTCTGTCATGATGGTTGGATTCGAGGTAAAGATAAGAAAATCTGTGAGGAAATGTATCCCACCTACCAACCAATTTTCTTTTTATGTATATTGGAACACAGCCTGGGTACAATAAGAAAATGTAAAATGACAGACGTTGCATGCTGGCGATCGAATGCGAGAGTACATTCAAATTTGATCTTTTGTTTACTTCGTGATGTCATCTATTTTCACTCCTAACTTCAGAGTGATAGCTTAAAGGTATATTTCTGAGCTCCAAATATTTTGATTCTTTGTGTAAACTAGCCTGGTTGCGAAAAAGAATTTGTCTTAAAGTTCACTTCACGAACAATTTCCACGTAGTTCTGTTTCATATAAATCATTTGGTAGAAGCTTTTGTGGTTTTATTCTCCTCCTATGTACACGTTGTTTTCGTCTATATTTTTTGTGCTGACGGTGTACTACTGGATTGCTTAGTTACACTTCCTCGTGAGGACAAAACTTTGTTTATAGGAGGTCTTTAAACCACAGAAGTATGTGTGCATGTACATGGTGCTAGCCCACAGTAAGTTGTTACACTTATCTCCTTACTTGCTGAAGGATTACAAAAGGGGTCATTACTTTTATGTGCATTGTCGCTGATGGGAAGCGAAATATGGAAGTTCTGATGCTGTAGGCCTTAAACCTTTTTTTGGTTTGCCTCAGCACATTCAAACACTTTACTGATCAGATCATCAAAACCCCTTAAATTAGTTATTGTGGATTAAAGTATTTTCATTTAAGTGTATTCTAATATACCAGGTTTCTAACTTTTTAGTGCTAGAAAACAATTAGAGGCATTACTGAAGTCCAAGCATATTTCCTTTTTAAAACATTATGTCATACATGTGCAGGTATAAAAAACTTTAGTGTTTCTTGTGGGGAATCAAAACAGGAGCAATGTTAATTTGGGGCAAATTTATTTTTTTTTTCAGTCATATGACTTAAATCACTTACAACAGTTATAGGAGGTTAGTTGAAAATATTGAGAAGAAACTTGTTAAGAGTTGAAATCAATGTCTCTTTTTTTTTTTTTTAGAGTTCTAGTACTGTGTAGATTACTGAATTGTATTATACTTGGTACAGTTGAACCCATATTAAGTTCCACTGTGTTAAGCAGTCACCCATATTAAGAGGTGGTCATCTAAGTCTCAAACTTGTTTAACCTTACTTACTGTAATTTTCACCTCTACTAAGTGGTCACCTCTACTAAGTTGTCGTGATCACCCCTAACTAAGTCCCAATGGCCTCTTTGTATTGTCTTCCACTGGTATTAAACATTCATTTAAAGCAGAACCACTCGAAAAAAAAAAAAAAATTGAAAATAATCTCTCTAGTAAATTTTAATTCATGTTTCTCTCCTGAAATCAATGTTACTCTACTAGTATTTTTGAGTGAGTGTTTGTACATTAAGTGGTCAATCATGGCATGAAAATGGTGTTTTTTATAAGTGTTATTTATTTTTTATATTATCCCTCTTCTGTGGAACCTGCATTAAGTGGTAATTTTTCCATTCCTTGTGGGTGACCTCTTAATTCAGGTTTGCTGTAATTTACTTTCCTGACTCTTGGTTAACCCTTTAACTCCCATGAGTGCCTAAAATGGAATTTCTCCTTGTAATATTAATACAATATCAAGCAGACAACTGAAGAGAACAAAGAAAAATATCAATTAGGGGATTGGTAGTTCATGATCCAATACTAAATTCTCCAAAGTTCACATAAGAATTGTATGGCAGACAGTAAGGAGAATTACTAATGAGATCTTGGGAGTTAAAGGGTTAATGCTGCTCTCTTCTCATTAAGTGGGACATTTAAATTGAGTTACTTTTGAGCTCCTTGTAACAACTAACATGCATACTGGTGATCTTTAGGAGAAAGGGGCTAAATGCTAAAAATCAAGACAAGTTCACTTTGAACTGATGTTCTCATTGTAAAATGCGATGGCACTTCATCTCAGTGTAGCTCACAAGCATACACTTTGAGCTTACTGCAAAAGTAGATACACTGTCTTTTAAAAAGAGGTGTGCATGAACTTGATTAGTTAGAGGATAGAAGCCAAAAGGAAGTGTCAGGCCCATTCTTTTTTTTATTTTTTTTTTTTCTTTCCCCTCCATGGTGGATGAATTTTAATAACCATCATATTAAATTTTATTTGGAATAAATGTGGAAGATGTCTTTTGCCTTTTGTCAGTCATGATTGCTGTGAAAGAATCCAGATAGTTTGATACTTTTTTGTTTTCCCTCATTAAAAATCTTAAGGAGTTGCCTAAAACCCTGGCAGGTGCATACAGATTTAAAAAAGTGTCAAATTTGCATTCTTCAATATAGATATTGACCTTTTAATAATTGCTGAAATTGAATCTTTAATGATGGTGTTCAATAACTATTCTTTCAAACTATGCTTTATTTTTTTTAGCTGTAAAGCTGTACTGGTGTAGTCATAGTTACATTGTAGGGTCTTTATAATAATTTAAGGGTTCTTATTTTTTGGGGTTCCCTTGAGTGTTGCATCAGCCAACATGTGAATTGGTAAACATTGCTATGGTATTTCTTTAATGGTTTCACACATGATTTTGGAGAAACACATGCTAGTGGCCTGTTTCTCTTCTGATTTTATTGCTTGGACAATGAAAGCTCCATTTGATTGTCATTGAACCAAAGATTCTTGTCACTGTGAAGCAACAAAAGTTTGGGCTAACAAGCCTGACTGTCACTGAGCCTTATAGGCTGCTGAAATATCAAGTTAATGTTATATTTTATTTGATGGTGACTACTTATTAATGGGTCTATCTGAGTACTTCAACTTTTTATTGACCTTATTGCCATTCTGTTTTTACTTATAGGGGAGAAGCTTGAAAAGTGAATCAACATTCTGTCAACATTTATTGGCACAAAGAGAAGTTAATTCGATTACATGTACATGTGCATTAAAACTTTGTAGGAAGTGGGTCGGTCAGGCTCAAGATTGAGAGAAGTATAATATGTTACACCAAGAAAAAAGAACTTATCAATGTGACCAGTGCAGTGAGTCATTTCGTGAGGAAGCTCTCTTAGCAGAACATAACCGAACTCATGAAGGCGGGAGAAATTTTGAGGGTGGCGGTTGTTCGAAGAGTTTTGTACTACAAGGAGTGAACGGACATAGAAAAGTGCACACTTCTGAGAAGACTTTTGAATGTACCCAGTGTGGTAAGTGGTTTAAACACGCTTCATCTTTACGATTACATCAAAGACTACACAGTGGGGAAAAGCTGTATCAGTGCGACCTTTGTGACAAGGCGTTCACTCAATCAGGAGGCCTTGAACAACACAAGCGAACACATACGGGAGAGAGGCCGTTTAAATGTGATCAGTGTGAGAAGACTTTCACCCAGAAAGGCCATTTGAAGGACCACAAACAGAAACACTCGAGCGAAAAGCTTTATAAGTGTCAAGGATGTAGAAAGTATTTTGTACGGGCAGAAGACCTGGACGAGCACAAAAAGATTGCAATCCTGTGGAAATGCATGTGAATGTAGTTATTGTGGGAAGTGGTTTAAAAATAGCGCCTCTTTAAAGGTACATCAAAGAATGCACACTGGGAGAGACTTTTCAAGTGTAACCTTTGTAACAAATCGTTCACTCAATCAGGAGGTCTACAACAACATACTCGAACACATACAGGAGAGAGGCCGTTTAAATGTGACCAGTGTGAGAAGACGTTTACCCAGAAAGGCCATTTGAAAGACCACCAACGGAGACATGCGAGAGTAAAGTTTCCTGAGTGCCAACAGTGTAGAAAGCGTTTTTTACGGGCAGAAGACCTGAACGAACACAAAAGATTGCAATCCTGTGGAAATGCATGTGAATGCAGTCATTGTGGGAAGAGATTTAAGAATAGCGCTACTTTAAAGGTACATCTAAGACTGCTCTCGGAAGGGAAGCTTTTTCAATGTAGCCTTTGTGAGAAGGTGTTTACTCGATCAGGGGGTCTGGAGCAACATAAACGAACACACACAGGTGAGAAGCCTTTTAGTTGTGAGCATTGTGGAAAAAAGTTTTCGCAGAAAGGCCATCTAAAAGAACACAAACAGAGACATACCTTAGAAAAAAAGTTTGAATGTAAACAGTGCGGAAAGACGTTCAAGAAAGTTGAATATCTAAAAGAACACCAGTGGTCACATATCCAGGAAAAGCTTTTCAAATGCAGCCAGTGTGACAAGAGTTTTAGGCGAGCAAGTAACTTGAGGGAACACAAGAGGGTGCATACCAATGAAAAAAACGCATGGAATGTGATCAATG